AAACTTTAGTGAAAGTTTTTTAGACTGAAACTGTCCAGATTTACTTTTTTTTTTTTTTATGTATTTGGTACAGGGTCTACAGGGTGTCGCTATGTAGATCAGACTCATAGTGATCCTCCTGTTTTCAGCCTCCCAAGCGCTGGGATTACAGGCACGCGCCACCATGCCCAGTCTCAATTGCCAACTCAGTGCATCCTGGAGATGGGGCCATCAGGGGCTGGGGATTGAACCCTGGCCACTGTGCTCTGCCTAACAAAGGCACATTAGTCCGCTGAGCTATCTGGCCAGCCCTCAGATTGACTTTAGATAAAGTAGTCAACCTAGAGCCAGGTCTGGTAGGTAGCACATGCATATAGTCCTAGAATTCTGGAGGCTGGGACTGCTGTGATTTTGAGGTTACATAGTGAGACTGTCTCAAAAAAAGGGAAAAAAAAATAGTCAATCTATATATAGATCACTGTTTTTAGTCCTAAAATAGTCATCACTCTCCCTCCCTGCCAAAAATGCCAAGATCAGAGGAGCCAGGGAGATGGCTCAGTAGAATAAGTGCTTCCTGGCAAGCGCAAGGGCCTGGGTTCAATCCCTGGTTCCAGGGTAAAAACAAAAAAACCTGCATTCTGATGTGGGGTGAGGGGTGCATACTTACCTTGTGAATCTAATTGAGGGCCTCAGGTGTGCTGGGCGAGTGCTCTGCTCCTGAGTCACACTCCCTGCCCGGTAGTCTCTTCCCCAAAGAGATTCCAGAGAGGGAGTTGGCACCAACGCTGTCAATATAAAGCCGGTGTAATCCTGACAGGTGAAGCGGCAGTGAGTAGAGGTCCTGAGCATCCGCGGACGTGCCCTCTACAACCACACTGCTCTCCCGTTGTGATGTGAAAAGTTGGAAATGCACAAGTGCAGTGCGTGACATGGCTGTGTTGCAGGGAAATTTTTACTTAGGAAAAGCCAGTATCAGAATTAGTTTGGAAAAAAGAAACAAAAGACAAAAGAAAAATCCTAGAACACACATATCCAGAAAAAAAAAAAAAATCTGAAATAAAAGCCCCCCCTGCCAAAAAATAAATAAATAAAAGAATCACTTTGACCGGGGACCATAGTTCACTGACTCCTGATCAAGGAAAGAACAATACATTCTCACATGGCAAGGCAGAGGCCTGAATGCTCAGTAAAAATGTATTAAATTTTAATTCCAGTTTATCATAAAAGCTTAGCAGACTAAAAGCAGCTTTGTTGCCAGGCATGGTGGCAAATGCCTGTAGTCCCTCCCCAGCACTTGAAAGGCTGAGGCAAGAGGATTGCCGAGAGTTTGAGGCCAACCTGAACTAGATAGTGAGACCCTGTCTCAGAAACCAAAAAAACCAAGAAATAGGCAGTGCTGGGGAGAGAGCTCAGTGGCATGAGCGCCTGCCTGGCAAGGACAGAGGTCCTTAGTTCGATCCGTGGTACCACAAAAAAAAGAAAACAAATGGGCAACTTTGTTAACCTGATGGAGTGTCTAATAAAACCAATAGCAAACATCATGTTTTTTAAAGTTTTCAAAGCATTACCATTTTTGAAGCATTCCCATGACAGGAATAAGTCAGATGTACCTGCTGTAAACTGCCATTTAATACTGAACTGGGATACTAGTCACTGCAGTTAAGAAAAATACATACTACAAACATTCATGCCTATTAATCCCAGCACTTGGGAATCCTGGCCAATTTGTGTGGGTTTGAGATCCTACCTCAAAAAATAATAAATAAGCCCCTTGGTTTTATTGCACAGGACCCCACCACCTCCCATCTCCTTCTCATCTTTGGTATTGTCGTCTGAGACCCGAGTGCCTGGGCTCCCCGTGCAGCAGTGCAGGCGTTCCCCCTGTAACCCCTTTCGGGACTGGGTGCACTGCCACACGGGAAGCTTTGAGACCAGCTCAATTTCCTTAGGTGTGGAGGATTATTTTGGGATTCTTAGCCTTCCACCAGTAGCTGGTTTCTCATCAAGAGCAGCTGTCGTGCAAGTAATAAATGCTTGGCTTCCGTGGCTTCAGCCCCTGGCTCGTTTTCCCCACATGCAGTCCAGAGGTTGGCCACGCGGGATGCTCCAGTAGCTCTCAGTGTCGCATGTGGTCACCTCTTCTCTCTCTGGTTCTTCTGGCTCTCCCAGAGTCACGAGATGCCTGTAGCAGCTCCAAGTTTGAGGGCCATGCTTGACCAATGAGGAGGCAAAGGCCGGGACCCAGACCCACACCTGGACAGGCTCTGGGACTTCCGGTAGCCCGGAGGACAGTACAGTGCCTGGAGGAAGGCTGCTGTCCTGCCCGCCACAGTGTCACCATCTGGTGCCCATGTCAGGGCTGTGCCCCAGCACCAGACTCCCATCCACACGCATGGGAGGATGTCCCTGCAGCCTCCCTGCTCAGCCCAGCCCTCCCAGTTAATTTTTCAGGCCTGTGGGAAATCTTCCCCAAGGAAGACATTCATGATTTCTTCTTCTATAAAATAAGCAGTTACCTGCATTGCTTTTGTTGGCAGATGGGAAATACTCGAATTGATACTGTGTGCTTTGCGATTCAAGGACACACCTTGTTGGCTGCATTGTGACAATAGATTGTTACTGTGACTTGTTACCATGTAAGATAGACTCATCTAGTACTTCAGTACATGTGCTAAAATGGCCTCTGAGTGGGGCTTTTTTTTTTTTTTTTTTTTTTAATGTATTTGATACAGGGTCTCCTACGCAGCTTGGACTCGTACTGATCCTCCTGTTTTCAGCCACCCTAGCGCTGGGAGTACAGGCGTGTGCCGCCACCACCCCTAGTCTCACTAGCTGACTCAGTGTGCTTGGCTGGGGCCGGCATGGCATGTGGTGCCAGGGATCAAACCCCAGTCCCTGTGCTTGCCTAAGCAAGTGCTTAGTGTGCTGAGTTATCTCACCAGTCCTTGAATTGAGCTTTTGATACAATATTAAAATTATAAAAGCTATCATGTGATTTTTTTTTTTTTTTTTTCCAGAACCGGGGATTGAACTCAGGCCCTTGTGCTTGCCAGGGAAGCACTTACCCACTGAGCCATCTCCCCAGCTCCTATCATGTGATTTAAGAGAAATGGGGCCCTCCCAGCATCCTGCCTTAAACAAACCTCCATATGCCTTGCATCCAGTCTCACCCCTGAAAAGGATCCTGGTGTCTCTCAGGTGTGGCCCAGACCCCTCTGTGGCCTGTGTGCAGGCCTCATGTGAGAGATGAAAACCCCTCTCAGATTGCTGTTGGAGGCAGAAGCGAGGTCAGGAAGGGAGGGCGGCCTGGGACCAGGAGAACTGTGGGCAAGGAAGGTAGTTTAGGGGAACAGCATCACAGAGGACCCTGCCTATGACAAGTGTCCTCTTATCTGCTCTGACTAGACTGGCTTACTCTTTCCTCCTTTCTTTCCTTCCTTCCTTCCTTCCTTTTTTTCTTTCTTGTGCTGGGATGGAGCCCCGGCCTTTGTCAACACTGCACTACCACACCCCAGCCCTGGAACCTTTCTTGCAGTTGACCTCTTCTTAAGAAAACTACTAAATCCCAGTTCTGGAAACTAGTAACAGCAGAATATTTTTCTACTTTTTACTATAAAATTATTGGTAGGACTTTTTTTTTTTTTCTTTCTTTCTTTTTTTTTTTGGCGGAACTGGGGATTGAACTCAGGCCCTTGTGCTTGCCAGGCAATTTTTTTTTTTTTTTTAAAGTCGGGGTCTTGCTATGTAGGTCAGCTGGCCTTCAACCACATAGCCCAGTCTAGCCTTAAACTCCAGGCAGCTGCTCCTGCCTCAGCCTCCTGAGTGGTGGGAGGCCACCATGCCCAGCTAAACTTCTGGATGTATGGAAAAAGAAATCAGCTGGACAGTAGCTACTAAAGAGAATGCTCTCTCTACTTCTCCAAAGAGAGAGCTGAATGGCATCTAGCAGTCACGCTCTGCCCTCCTCCATGCACAGCTGACCTCACAGAGGTGACTCTGCTGGCCACCTGGGATCCAAACACAGAGCCAGCTTTCCAGCCTGCTCTCTCACCTGCTAGCCCTTCCTTCTTGTTTGGGCAGCTCCGATGGTTAATTCCTGAGATGAAAGCTCCCAAGTTTTAGTTGGCCTTTTTTTTTTTTTTTTTTATTTTTTTTTTTTTTTTTTTTTTTTGTGTGTGTGTGTGTGTGTGTGTGTGTGTGTGGCCAGCTCAGCCCACCAGGGGGTGCAGCTGGCTGGCATGTGGTGCTGGGGGATCGAACCGCGGTCCCTGTGCTTTATCAAGTTTGTTCCAAGTAGGTACTTTAGACCACTAAGCCATCTCTCCAGCCCCTTTAGTTGGCTTTGAAGGGCAATTATTTCTAAAAATGTAAGAGAAGCAATTTAAATAATAAAAGATAGACATTTCTATTTAAGTAGACCCAAAGCTACAGGTGGATAGATATAAAACAATAGAGAAAGCAGGCATGTTGCCAAGAGAGGAACAGAGTTCCTTGACAAATAGCAGAAATTAATTTCAAAATATAAGTCTTCCAGGAGCCCAGGCCTTTAAATCAGTTTCTCGGGCCAGCGAGATAGCTCAGTGGACTAAGCACCTGCTACAGCAAGTACAGGGACCAGGGTTCAATCCCTGGCACCACATATCGTTGCTCTGGCATCTTTATGTTTTTCTGTTCACATGAGCCTGTGTGTGTGTGTATGTGTACATGCGTATGCATGTGTGCTACACAAATGAGTAAGTGAAGTAATTAACACCAAAAAAGTATTTTTGGTGTAGCTTCATTGGCCTAGATGGACCATCTCATTCTTTAGGCAGCTTTTGAGAGGGGAGCCCTGGCTCCCCAGTGTCCCGGCAGTGGCCAGGCTGGGTGTAACATAGGGACATGTTGATGCAGCCGCAGACCTGGAGTCCGCCCGTGCTGGGTCTTATTCTCATTCTTTCTCAGGACCTCCCAGGCAGACTCAGGGTGAGGCCAGCAGCATTCTGAGATCAGTGTGTTTATTTTTCGTTTTATCTTTCCAGGCTGGAGTGAAAGGGACTTTGGGAAGATTAGTTGGAATATTTGAGGTAAGTCTGTTACCATCTTTAGTGCACATGGAGCATTAATAAGCACATACAGGGCCTGCCCCTTAGCTCAGTTCTTTAAGTGGCTGCTTCCACAAAGCAGTCAGGCTCAGGTTGCTGTGGTTCATCCCCACAACTCAAGCCAGCCAAACATGCCCTGAAGGCATTCTGAGCCAGCCCAAAAAAAAATCCTTCTGCCATTTTTGCCAGGAAGATAGCTCAGTAGAATAAGTGCTTGCCTGGCAAGCACAAGGGCCTGAGTTTGATCCCCGGGGGAAAAAAAAATGCACGTACTCCTGAGCTGGGAAAGAGGCTGTGTGCGTTTCACCCAGTTGTCAAAACAAAGCAATACATGGCCTAAGATGTAGCACAGGGGTGTAGCGTCTGCCTGGCAAGTACAAGGTCCTAAGTTCCATTCCTGGTACCAAAAAAAAAAAAAAAAGACAGCCCAGCAGTGAATAGTGTTCCTTCTTATATCTCCTAGTCTTATCCTCCAAACAACTGGAATTCTTCCTGTTTTTATCCCATTCCTACCTGTTGTCTTCTCCTGAGGTGGGAGGAAAGCTGGATGCCTGTAGAGAAAAGAAATGGAAGATAAGTAGCTGTGGTGTGGGCAACAGCCACAGGAAGTAGTCCTTAGCAGAGATTTGAGGGGTTCCAGGAGGCAGTGAGAGGCTGGGGACAGAGCAAAGGAGCAGGGCTGTGGAGGAGAGGCCAGGGAGCCTTGGGGTCACCAAGACCTGGACAGTGCCCCTGTCCGCAGCTCCTCAGTCTGGGCTGTGCCTCTTACAATGTCAACTTGTTTTGAGAAGCCAGAACATTCCTGGAAAGCTCCAGATGGAGGAAGGAGATGGAACACAGTTGTTAAAGTCCAGGGCTTTAAAGGGCTGGCCAGAGAGTACATCCTCAAGTGCAGGCTCAGTCTGATTCTTTTGGCTGTGATTGTCAGGTGGTCAAAGTAAGACGAATCTGTGCCTAAGCTCCTGGGACATGCGTGCAAGTGTGTGTTCCTTTAACTCTTCCCCCCTCTCTCTCTCCCTCCGGCTCCCCAGAACCAGGAGAGGAAGCACAGGACATACGTATATGTGCTCATTGTCACGGAAGTGCTGGAAGACTGGGAAGACTCGGTGAACATTGGTAAGTTACGCCTTGCCGCCAGCCCTTGCCACTCAGAACTTCAGAAGCCCACCAAAGAACAGGAGTGGAGGGCAGCCAAAAGTGCTACGCGCACCATTTTGGAGGTGTCCAAAGGGAGGCTGAACCTGGAACGCGGCCCCTGAGATTAGAGATGTTTCTGATATCCAACTGGCTCCTCCCCGTGGCACTGATTCTTTTGTTAGACTGGTGGGGACCCAGCCAGGTCAACGCTGTGTTGGCTGGGCACCGTAGCTCAGTGGAGCCTTTGGTTGGCGTGCACAAAGCCTTGTGTGCAGTCCTAACTGTGGGGAAGAATGGGCAGGATGACACGTGCCATAGAGGCAGATGCAGGAGAATCGCAGGCTCTGTCCCAACCGAGGCAATGTAACAATACTGAGTTTCAGGGGAAAAAAATTGTTTTTAAGTACTAGAGATGGAACTCAGTGCAAAGGCCCTGGGTTCCACCCTCAGTACTGTAAGGAAAAAGTCACTCATAAGCTGGAGAAAACCATTGGCCCAGTGGATAAGCCCCTCGGCAGGCCAGCATCATCCAGGGGTGCAGAGGCTAGGGAATGGCTTCCAGCTGTCCCCTGTCCTGCAGGCATAGCTGGCTTTCTCCTGCAGAGCCATTTCCTTAAGCACACAGATCACTATTGTGTGTGCCTTTTGAACTAGCAGCTGGGGTGGTTTAGTTGGCTTAGGATTTAATCTTTCACCTTGAAGGAAAGTATATTCACAAAAAACATGATATTAATGGAGTTTCTGCTTTAAAGTGACAAATGGGGGGCCAGGGAGATGGCTCAGTGGAATAAGCATTTCCCTGGCAAGCGCAAGGGTCTGAGTTCAATCCCCGGTTCTGCCACAAGAAAAAAAGAAAAACCTCTTCTTTGGGCTGGCAAGATGGCTCAGTGGTCTAAAGCACCTACTTGGAACAAGCTTGGCAAAGCACAGGGACCACAGTTCGATCCCCCAGCACCACATGCCAGCCAGCCTCGCCCCCTGGTGGGCTGATCTGGCCACACACACATACACACACACACATAATAAATAAATAAATGTTTAAAAAAATAAAAAATAAAAAAAAAAAATAAATAAAGTGACAAATGGCTAAAATTCACTTGGCAGACCCTTCCCTTTTATTTTTTAATGTATTCAGTACAGGGTCTCACTACACGGATTGGACTCGTAGTAATCCTCCTGTTTTCAGCCTCACAAGAGCTGGGTTTACAAGCATGCTGTCATGCCCAGACTCACTGTCTCAGTGCGCCTTGTGGGTGGGGCCGGCGCAGCATGTTGGGGATCAGACCCTGGTCCCTGCGTCTGCCGAAACAGTTGCTGCATTCCACCGAGCTGTCTATCTGGCTGGCCCGCCCTTCCCTTTCTCATTGACACATCCTTGTCCCCGTGTCCCACACGTTGTGAAGCTGGGCACTGTGGCCCTTTGGCACTGAATGGCTGAGTGCCTGGCAGCAATGCAGCATGCTCAACGTGGGAGCGTTAAGACCTGGAAAGGGGACAGGTGAGTGTGAGGTGGCCTTGCCCCACAGGATGGCATGCCTGTGATGCTGAGTTTCAGAAACCCTGCTCTGTTGGTATGCACACAGGCCTTTGCTGCACATGTGAGCACTGGTCAAATGGCACAATGTGAAGTGTGAGGAATGAGCCCACGGGGCCTGTTCTGAACAGTGTCCTCAGCAAGCTGGATGGAGTGAATACCAATAGGCAGAGGTCCATTTGTTGCGCCAGTGTCCAGGGCCACAGACTGTGGGTAGATGTCAGAATGAGGCAAGGGAGAGCTCTTGCAGCAGCGTCAGTAAAGGTGGAACAGGGCCCCGACTAACATCGGCACCAGTAGAGCCACGTTAAAACAGGAAGTGGAAGCCAGGTGTGGTGGCACTTGAGAGGCTGAGACAGGAGGGTAACTGTGAGTTCAAGACCAGCCTGGGCTTCAGAGTGAGCTCAAGGCCAGTCTGAACTGCATAGTGAGACCCTGCATCAAAAGGGCCAAAAAAAGGGCCTGGGAGATAGCGCAGTAGGATAAGCGCTTGCCTGGCAAGTGCAAGGGCCTGAGTTCAATCCCCATCCCCCCAAAAAAGGGGGGTGCAAAAAGAAGAAAAAAAAACATGAAGTGGAGCTGGGTACACAGGCAGGAGGGCTGCAGGTTTGATGCCAGGCCAGGCAACTTAGCAAGACTCATTCTCAAAGTTTGAAATAAAAGGGCCAAGGAGGTAGCTCACTGTAGAGGCCCTGGGCCAAATGAAGTAGCAGGGGAAACTAAGGTAGCTCTGGCCAGATCCCAGTTTTCACCTACATACTGGGCAGAAAGGAAGAAAAGGGCAGCAGTCAGTAGTGTGTGAGGCCAATATTCCAGCCTGAGTAAGCAAGACTGGGGTAGCCTTTCTGGAAGGCAGTTCAAATGCTTAATTACGGTAGTCCTTCCTCTTGGGACCTTCCCCTGGGCCATGAACCACTTAATAGTCCAATTATTTAAATACAGGATGACCAAAAATTGCTTTTTTTTTTTTGCTATTTTTCATTAACTTTTATGAGGTAAGAGGAAGTGTAAGAATGATAATCTTATCAATACAAGAATTCAGTATAAGAATTGACTGGTTGGGCCAGGGAGATGGCTCAGTGCAATAAGTGCTTCCCTGGCAAGTGCAAGGGCCTGAGTTCAATCCCCAGTTCCGCAAAAAAAAAAAAAAAGAATCGACTGGTTGAAGAAGGTATTGTGGCTGATACCTGTGATCCCCGCACTTAGGAGGCTGAGGCAGTAAGATATACACCAAATTTGAGGCCAGCCTGGAATACATAGTGAACTCAAGGCCAGCCTGAAGTACATAGTGAGACCCTGTATTTCAAAAAAAACAAAAAAAAAGTTCTAAAAAAGGAGCGAAGGAGAGGCTCCGTCCCTGTGTGGGGGCCTGGGCTTGATCCAGAGTACCACAGAAACAGAAGCTCTGTGTAGGTGCTAATCAGGCCCTTCACCTAACTGCTGGTCACAGCAGACGCAGGAAGTAGGTCCCCTTTACTGTCTGTTTTCTAGGCGAGGACTAGGGTGCAGGAGACTCAGGGCTTGCGCGGGTCCCCCAGCTCCTGGGACATCGGCTGTGCACTCTTCCCTCCTAGCCACAGCGCCCCAGAGCTGCGCTGCATTTGGAGAACTGGAAGCATGATTTCAAATGTTCAAGTGGGTTTCTTTTTCAGATATGGATGGTAAAAAAGTGAGTGTGCTACAGTATTGAGAGTGGTCATGTCTGGCTTGTCATCCTAGGGCACTGGAGTGGGCCTATAAGATACAAGAGTGCTTGCTGGACATGGTGGCACACGCCTGCAATCCCAGCAGTCAGGGTGCAGAGGCAGGAGGATTGTTGTGAATTTGAGGCCAGCCTGGGCTTTGCAACAAGACCCAGGTGCGAAAGAATAAAACTTAAAAAAAGATGGTGAGGGCCGGGGAGACGGCTCAGTGGAATAAGCGCTTCCCTGGTGAGCGCAAGGGCCTGAGTTCAATCCCTGGTTCCTCCAAAAAGAAATCCTAAAAAAAAAAAGATGATGAGCCAAGGTGATAGCCCAGTAGACTAAGCACCTGCTTAGGCAAGTGTGGAGACTGGGGTTCCACCCCCAGCCCCACATGGTGCATGCCTGTAATCCCAGCGCTGGGGAGGCTGAAGCAGGAGGATCACCAGGAGTCTGAGCTGTGTAGTGAGACCCTACACCAAATATATTAAAAAAAAAAAAATGGTGGTGCTTATTGCATTCTATTTTCTTGTTCCTCCAGCCCCCCACCCCTCCAGTGCTGGGAATTGAAGCCAAGGCCACCTACGTGGCAATTACAAATTCCTGTGCCTGGAGGGCTTTTTTATTACTTTCATAAGAGAAAAGTAATAAAAGATTTTAAAACTAATATGAAGAGGGCTGGAGAGATGGCTCAGTGGTCTAGAGCACCTACTTAGAACAAGCTTAGCAAAAGCATCAGGGACCGCGGTTCAATCCCCCAGCACCACATGCCAGCCAGCCCTGCCCCCTGGTGGGCTGAGCTGGCCTCTCTCTCTCTCTCTCTCTCTCTCAAATAAATAAATAAATAAATAAATAAATAAATAAATAAAATTAAAAAAAAAACTAATATGAAGAAATGGGGCTGGCTAAATAACATCGGATTAAAGCGCCTGCAAGCAGGCACAGGGGCCGGGAGGTTGATTCTGGGCCTGCTGCGCCATCCAGCACTTGGGAGGCTGTAAATAGGAGAATCACTAGAGTCCAATCTAGTAGTGAGACCCTGAACACCCTGTAGACACTTCCCTAAAAATACAGGAAAAGAAATATGAGGAAATGGAAGCTGAAAATAATAGTGATTTGTGCTGACAGAGTTTTATATTGCATGTTAAGTGGATGTACCACTCCTACACAACCTTCCTCATGTCATCACCAGTTGATGACAAGCCGGGCAGCCTTGTGTCCTGGGTGCTGGTTCTCATGCTCAGCTTTGCAACAGGGGTTCTTGCTCACCCCTTGCAGCCCAGACAGCCAGGCCAGGTGTGCAGGGGGTCTACACAGCCAGCATTCTCCGGGCTGTGCCTTTACCTGCTCGTCCTCAGGCATTTGAGTCATTTTGGAGCCTAGAGAGTGTGCTTGTGCCAAGCGTGGTGGCACACGCCTGTCATCCCAGAACTTGGCAGCTGAGGCAGGAGGATCACTTGAGTTTCAAGGCAGCCTGGGCTATGTAGCGATATCCTGTCTCAAATTTAAAAAAACGAAGGAAAAGTACATATGAACTACATATTTAAAAAGTATTGAGAAACATTGATTTCATGTTTTTGTGCGCATTTTCTCAAACCCTGGAGGCTTAGAAACCTCATTCTCCCACTTGTACTGCTGTCTTCTCTGCCCTCACAGGAAGGAAAAGGGAGTGGTTTAAGATAGAAGAGGCCGTAAAGGTGTTGCAGTGTCACAAACCCGTGCAGGCGTCGTACTTTGAGGCGCTGAGGCAAGGCTACCCCGCCAACAACGGCACCCCGGTCGTGGCCACCACGTACTCAGTTTCTCCTCAGAGCTCCATGTCGGGCATCAGATGACTGAAGACTCCCACGAGCCATGGAGGGGGCACCCAGACTGCAGTTGCGGCCCTTGCCTGGCTCTCTCCTGGCCTCCTCCTCGTCCTTCTCCTCCTCGGCGGCGTGCACAGAGCAGGGGCGCGGTGACTCCCCATTTGGTGTTCATGGGGGGCTCTTTCTTCTTTCTGTGGAGGGGTGGGGGCTGGGTGTGTAGTCCTTAAGTACTTTGTGCATGATCTGTCCCCCATTTTCACAGTGCACCCCCTGAAGAGAGGCAGACATCTTTCCCCCAGCTTCTCAAGTATCCCTGTTTGTCTCACCCAGCCCTGGCCACATATTTTCTTTGATTTTTAAAAAACTTTTTTTTATTAAAAGATACCAGTGTGAGATGAACCTTTTCAAGAATTTGTCCTATAATGTGCTGTTCAGGCCCGTAGGTTGGGCACTTTCACTGCAGGGTACATTTATCTACACATTATATAGTCCACATATAATATGTAAATAAATGACTTAGAAGAATTTTACTGTTTAATACTCAAAGTTTTTTTGTTTGTTTAAATTCTAGTATGGAAACCCTCCTAATTAATTTCCATGTTTGTTTTCGACGCTAGTGGCTAGGCCAGTTCCCCTGTGCGGACTGTCGCTGCGTAGGTGACCTTCAGAGTGCTCCCGGGACTCACAGCCTGCTCGGGAAGCTGTTTCCATGCCAGGAAAGAAACAGGAAGAACTTACTTTCTTTATTACCAAGCCAGGAGCAGTGGCCTCAGCCCAGACCCAGCGAAACAATGATGGAAATAGAATTCTGCCCTACATGTGCACAATGGGGTTGGAACTGGATTCTTGGGATTACTGTCTCGGAAACTGGGGCGCCATGCACTGATTCTGCCCTGCTGTGTGGAATCTTCCACAGCGCTGCTCGTTGCTGCCCTGGCCTCTCCTGCCTGCTTTCCTCCGTAAGCCTTGCCTGCTGAGCCAGATGTCACCCTCACTCGGACTTGCCCACCGTCCTTGGCGAGTGTTGTCCTGTGCGTGCTGGGTGACCCAACTAGGTCCTGAGACGCCCCCAGACCGAGGCGGCTGCTCCTGTCCTTACAGTGTTGTGGCGCTTGTGATTGCAGACAGGAGCACGCTCAGAAGTAGTCGCCTGCTGTACCCCCGCTGCAGAGGCGCAGGCTAGGCTGAGCAGCACGCCAGGGGAGGCCTGCTGGTGCTGGCGCCAGGCCGTGCGAGCTTTTGGCTCGCTGAGGTCCTGTTGGTTTCCACACAGGTGTCGTGATGCAGCGCACATGGTCTCGGTGGCCACTGGTGTCCCGCTAGGAAGCAGGGAGGTCTGGGAAGCTGAGGTGGGGCAGCAGGGCTGAGGGGAGGTTGTTGCTCTTCGCAGCGTCTCCTCTGCCAGACACAGCCAAGATGTGAAATGAGAATCGCAGCACTCTGTGTTTGCTGATTCTAATAAATACCCAAACTTTTAAAAGCTTTTGTTTTTCCCTCCCTTCAGGAGAAGCACATCTGCTAACCCTGTGTCATTTAGTAAGAACTTTGGGTTTTGCTCTGTGCTCTCAGTTTGCATTCTCTGTCCTGGCCGTGAGCCAGAGCCAAGAGGCAGTGCCAGTAGTTTCCAGGGGTGGGGTATCCTCCTTTGGGAAGAACCCCGGTGGAGAGAACAGCACTGGGGATCTGGGTCCTCACTGCTCACTGGAATGCAACCCAATGCAGTGTGTCCTGTAAACAGGATTGGGTTGCATTCTAAAGTTCTGTCCAAATAAATAAAGGGAAATGAAGTAAATTTAATCTCTACGTAAAATCCAAAAAAATGCAACTTCCAAATAATACCCACTCACGGTGTGGCTTGAAAGTGCTTTGAAGGAGAAGTTGGTAGTGCACCTGCAGCAGTCACTGCGCCGATGGGCACATAACGCTGCACCACCTGCGTCCACTTGGGTTGTCTCAGGAGTCTTGGGAGGTGTGCTGTGCTGGGAGGCAGCTGTGAGCGCCACTGGGCCCTGCTCAGGCAGTCACACAAGGCGCCTTTGTCTAACCCAGCTCGGCTGGAGCCGGTGTCTCCGCTGCACCAATGCTAATGAGCAGGCACGGGGTTTCCTCTCTGGTACTGTCAGTGCCATGGCCATTTTTACAGATGTGTGGTTGGAGTCCTTTGGGGGCAGATCTGTTGGACCATAGTCATAGTGCCCTATATCTCTTCAAGAGAGCCAAAGGAGTACAGAGACTCCCCCCGTGAAGAGTAGTTCCTGGCAGTGAGTTGCAGTGAGTTCTCCCTGATGCGGCCCAAAGCCTGGGCCCTGGCTGCCAGCCAGTCTGCCTGTCCTGAACCCTGTGGTACCAAGCCTTCAGCAGAGTCTGCATGCTCAGGACAGAGTGCAGTGGCAGCAGGGTTTATGTTTTTGTGGTTTTTGGTTTGTTTTTTTTTTTTTTTTTTTCTTCTTCTTTTTTCTAATTCATAAATGACAACCATTGGGGTAATGTTAGTGAGATCATGTGATCTTTTTGGACCACAACCTAATTTGTGTGTGTGTGAGAAAGCGACTGACAGACAAACACAGGAAGGGAGAGAGGGAAAGAAGTACAGCTCGAAGTCGCCCATGTTAGGTGCTCTGTAGCCACATTAGTTCTAGTGAGTGTACCAGGCCAGAACAGCTCATGGGGTGACTGTGCCTTGTTTTCCCAAGTGTCCAGTGCCATCTGATCTGTACAAAGACTGCTGTCCCACTGCTGAGCCATCAGCGGGGTCCGAGGACTGGGGCCCGGGGGGGGGGGGCTGGCTCTGCAGAGCCCTGAAGCCCGCCACTTGCGGGCCTGCGTGGCGGAGGTCACTGCTTTCAAGCATCTGCAGTAGGTTTGGAAATGCAGTCCCTTAGACTTCCGCAGAAGATCAAGGTCACCCCAGCTCTGTGCGGAACTGTTCCCAGCACTGCTCTAACCGCATGCTGCCAAGGCCCCATCACGCCTGTTTTGAAAAACCCTTAGCCCGAGCCACTTCACTCCTAATCCACACGAAGAATTTATTACCACAACAGGACTGGGGTTTTTTCCCACAATGTGACTCTTGCCACAGCTGTTATGATCTTCGTATTTCTCAAGCGTGTTCAAGTCAGCCGGAGTTGAGATTAGGTTTAGAGTAGGGAAATACCTAGAGAAGTCACTCCAGTGGCATTGTTTGCTCTCGAAGAAATGTGTGTTGGCGGTAATTGATAATACTGCCTTGTCCCCATCCCATCTGCACTTCAGAAAATAATCTGCATCTTTGCAAAAAATAGATGTGCGGGACAGCGCAGGCCACTGGGGGGGCTTTTCCTTCTAGGCTTTCCTGCTGAGGACTCTTGAAGCGGTCGCCTCCTGCTTGGGGGCCCTGTTGCCTGGAGCCTGTCTCCATGGGGCCATCCCGTCAGTGGCCCCACTTTGCCTCGCCACTGCTGCCACCTCTCTTGTAGCAGGTGGAGGTCGCTGCTCCTGAGGAGACCTAGCGAGCAAGCCTCACTATCCAGGAATGCTATTTCTCCGCGTCACCTTAAGTGTCGCCCAAAGACTGTGAGGTGACAGTTGTGAACTGGGGAGCACTGAAGGCAGTGCATAAGCGCTAGCTGTGCTCCATGCGCTGGGCTGGCAGCCGCAAGCAGGCTCCTTAGCCAGCCTGCAGTCTGACGCCTGCGACAGGGCAGCTGCACGCTTGGTGCTTTTTTTACACCAGCCCGAAAGCTTGTGGTCAGCAGGTGGCATTCTGGGATGAGAGAAGCCTCACCTGCCAGCTGGGCAAATGGAGCCGCTCACCTCGGAGTAAGTGTGGTCCCCCTAGGGATCACAAATGAAGAGAGCAGACTGATTCGTGTTGCTTTGGGCACACTGAGGCCTGTAGTCACAGGTTTCGAGTCTCTTTGACACTTTAGTGAACTAGAGTTTGTCTAGAAAGTGAGACTGTTCCCTTGGAGAGTGGCTGTCAGGGAGGCAAAGCCATGTGGACTCAGAATGCAGCAGGCCAGGGCTCTGGATAAGTGCATGATGCTGTGGCTGAGAAATGAGGGTCAGTTTCTAGGAGTGAGGCCATCGCTTCTGTCTTTCAGTGCAGGTGTTTATTTTTTTGTCTTTTTTTTGTTGTGGTGGTGGTGGTACCAGGGATTGAACTCTGCACCTTGCGCTTGCCAGGCAAGCACTTACTCCACTGAGCTATCTCCCCATCCCTGCCAGTTGCTTAATTACTCCAGGTTTCCTTGGGTTTACAGTCCTGGTTTTGAACCCCCAAGATTGACATGGCTTCTTGATAACACCAGAAAAGGCAGCATTGGTATCTTGCCTGGTTTGTCGGGTATCTTGCCTGGTTTGTCTCCACAGTGCCCTCCTGGGCCCTCCACTCTCCTCTCCAGGAGGCCCAGCGTAAACAACCAGTGACCCCAAGGCACAAGGTGCGCTCGTTCTGGGCTGGGGTAATCACCTGCTGAACCACTGTCTTGGGAGCTTGAAGTAGCCCACCCGTCCAGGCACCGGCTCTTCTAAGGCCCGAGTACCATCCCACCCAGGGACAGGTTAAGATTTGTGCAGTCTGTGGGAAACAAGCAGGGTGCCTGCGGAATAAAGCCCACAGGAGGCAGTCCTGCCCTGGGCCGCTTGGCCACCTCTGTCCCAAGAAGCAGCTTCCCAAGGCTGAGCTCTAGTCTCTAGCTTAATGTCCTTTGTTACAGAGAAAATGTGTGACATAAATGACCCAAAGAACATTTAGTTTTGGTCCCTCGGTGTAACCTGTGTGACTTGTGTCCGGGAAGATCGAGACTGGTTCCTGGGACCCAGGAAGGGGCAAGACAAAAGGGCCTCTGGGTAACCGTCCCGAGGTTCAGGCCTGGCGGGCTGGCAGGGTGCATATTGTGGGGGGGGACTTGCGGGGGACCCGAACCCATAGCCTGCAGCATGCCAGGAATGTGCTGGAGTTGGGGGAGCAGCAGACATCCAACCTCAGGCTTGCAGCCGGAAACCTGTCCTTTGGCTGAGGGGAATTTGCTCAGAATTTTCCAACACAAGTGTCCCCAGCACACCTAGCTTGCCACCAGCGTTTCACTGAGCCTTCGAGCACCTTGGTCTTTTGTGTCCCTGTGTGAGAAAGGCAGGTGTGTAGCTCAAGGGCCGCATGCATGCGGAGCCGGCGCCACAGCAGCCCTCTTGCTTAGGAGGGGAAGTGGGTCTGTACCACGAAAGGAGGAAGCACAGGGACAGTTTTGCAATCGCCAGGTCTGTTGTGTTGCGTCCAGGTCCGAAGACTTGCAGACTAGCTCCTAAGAGAGAAGCGGGGCTGATGGAACGTGTCTGTCCAAGGGCAGCTGCCTGTTGGGCATGTGCTGTGTTAGGAAGTCGGCATGTTTGGGCTGGTGGGAGCTGTGGCACGAGAAGGACCAGGCTGTGTGCAGGTGCCACCACAGGCTCGGGGAGGGCTGGCCTCTCCATGGTCACCTCACCCTGTTTGTGTACTGTTGGTGCCCATAGGGTTGTAGGTGGTCCCCAAGACTGCTGCGCTAAAG